CCATCTGAGCTTTCTTCTGTTCCTCCAGTGCCTGTTTATGAGCTTTTTCTACATCTTCCAAGGCTTTCTGAGCTCTTGTTTGTTTTTCAACAGCTTGTTTCTGAGCAATCTCTAGTTCTCTGAGGGTCTTCTGAGCTATTTGTTTTTCTTGTATTGCTTTTTCTTCAGCTATTTCCTGCTCTTTTTGGAACCTTTGCTGTGTCCTTAACAGCTCTTCCAGAGCTGCCTCTGTCCTCTTCTTTTCTTCTTGCATTTTTTTCCATCCTTGCTCCTGTTCTTCCATGGCTGCTAGATGAACTTGCTTCTGCTCTTCCATAGCCTGTTGATGAGCTATTTCTACTGCTTCCAGGGCCTTATGAGCTTGTTTCTGTTCCTCAAGGGCTTTCTTTTGAATGGTCTGTAATTCTTCTAGGGCCTTCTGAGCTTTCTCTCTCTCTTCCTTTGCCATTTTCTCAGCCTTTTGCTGTTCTTCTTGGATCTTTCTTTGAGTTTTGCAAACTTCTTCTAGGGCAGCTTCAGCCATCTTCTTTTCTTCTTCAGATTTTTTCCATAGTTTTTCTTGTTCTTCTATGGCAGCCCTCTGAGCTTCCTTTTGTTCCATCATTGCCTTTTTGTGAGCGTTTTCTACAGCTTCCAGAGCTTTTGATGCTTTTTCCTGTTCCTCCAAAGCCTTTTTCTGAGCAAACTCATATTTTTTTAGGGCCTCCTGAGTACTTTCTCTCCTTTCAGAGGCCTTCTCTTCCTGCTGTTCTTGAATCTGTCTTTGAATCTTTGACAGTTTTTCTAAAGCTGCTTCAGCCATCTTCTTTTCTTCTTCAGATTTTTTCCAGACTTTTTCCCGTTCTTCTATGGCAGCCATCTGAGCTTTCTTTTGTTCCTCCAACACCTTTTTATGAGCCTTTTCCACAGATTCCAAAGCTTTCTGAGCTTTTTCCTGTTCCTCCAGTGCTTTTTTATGAGCAATGTCTAATTCTTTAAGGTGTTTAAGAACTAACTCTCTTTCTTCTGCTGCTTTGTTTTCAGCCCTCTGTCGCACTTCTTGTATTGTCTTCTGAGTCCCAAAAAGCTCTTCTTGGGCCACCACAACCATTTTCTTTTCTTTTTGAATTCTTTTCCATTCTCGCTCCTGTTCTTCTATGGCAGTCCTCTTAGCTTTGTTCAGCTCCTCTAAAGCCTGTTTATGCGTTTCTTCTACAGCTTCTAATGCATTCTGAGCTCTTTTCTCTTTTTCTAGGGCTTTCTTTTGCATCATTTCTACTTCTCTTAGGGTCTTTTGTATTATCTCTCTTTCTTCCATGGCTTTCATCTGAGCACTTGCCTGCTCTTCTTGGACCTTTTTCTGAGTCCTGAAAAGCTCTTCCAAGGCTACTTCAGCCATCTTCTTTTCTTCCTGAATTTTTTTCCTTATTTGTTCCTGTTCTTCCATTGCTGCTCTTTGAACTTTCTTCTGTTCCTCCAGGGCTCTTCTATGAGCCCTTTCTATACTTTCCACAGCATTCTGAGCTCTTTCCTGTTCCTCAAGGCATTTTTTTTTAGCAATCTCTAATTCTTCAAGGGCCTCCTGTATGCTCTCTCTTTCTTTCATGTTTTTTTCCCCAGCATTTTCTTGCTGTTCCTGGATCTTTTTCTGAGTCCTGAAAAGCTCTTCCAGGGCTATTTCAGCCATCTTCTTTTCTTCCTGAATTTTTTTCCTTATTTGTTCTTGTTCTTCCATCGCTGCTCTCTGAGCAACCTTTTGCTCTTTTAGGGTCTTTGTGTGAGTTCTTTCCACAATTTCCAGAGTGGCCTGGGTACTTTCCTGTTCCTCCAGCAAGTTCGTTTGTACAATCTCTAATTTTTCAATGGCCTTTGGTATTTGCACTCTCTCTTCGATACCTTTTTTCTCACCACATCCCTGTTCTTTTTGGACCTTTCTGTAAGCCATGGAAATTTCTTCCAGGTCAGCTTCAGACTTCTTTTCTTGATTTTTTCCCCTTGTTTCTTCCTGTACTTTCATTAGTGCTATCTGAGCTTTCCTTTGTTCTGTCCCTGCCTTTTTTGCTATTTCTACCACTTCCAGAGCATTCTGAGCTCTGTTTTGTTCCACCAGAGCTTTATTTTGAGCAATCTCTAGTTCTTTGAGGGCCTTCTGTGTGTTCTGTTTTTCTTCCATGGCTGCTTCAGCCATCTTTTTTTCTTCTTCAGTTTTTTTACATACTTGGTTCAGATCTTCTACGGCAACTGTCCTCTGTTCCTCCATTGTCTGTTTAGGAGCTCGAGCTTTTTGAGCTTTTTCCTTTGAAGTTTTCCTCTGAAGAGTCTCTGATTCTTCTACAGTGTTCTGAGCATTTTGAATTTCTTCCATTACATTTTTCTCAGCCCTTTTCTGTTTTTCCTGTTCCTTTATCTGAGCCACAGAAATGTCTCTCAGAGCTACTTTCACCAACTCGTTTTCTTCTTCTTCTTCAGATATTTTCTTTTTTTTCTCCAAGGCTTCTTTATGAGCAATTTCTAAGTCTTCCAGAGTTTTCTGAGCACTTTTGTTTTCCTTCACTGTCAGCTTCTGGCCAATTTCTAATTCTTCTAGGAATTTCTCACTTCTTTCTCTTTCTTCTATTGCCGCCTTCTGATTCTTTTTCTGCTCTTGTACTTTTTTCTGAGCTGCTGAGAATTGTTCCTGACCTACCTCTGACACCTTCCTTTCTTTCAGAGTTTTTTCCTCTGCTCTCTTCTGTTGCTGTAATGCCCACATATGAGATTCTTCTAAAGCTTCTAGAGCTTTTTGAGCTCTTAATTGTTCCACCAGGGCCATCTTTTTAGCAATCTCCAGTTCTTCTATAGCCTTCTGAGTTCTCTCTCTTTCTTTTATTGCTTTCTTTTCTGATCTTTCTTGTTCCTCTTGAATTTTTTTTTGCATCTTTAAAAGCTGTTCCATGGCAGCTTCAGCCATCTTTTTTTCTTCTAGGTAACTTTCTTTTGCTTGCTTTTGTTCTTCCACAGCAGCCATCTGAACCTTTCTCTGCTCCTCTAGAGCCTGCTTGTGAGCTCTTTCTACAGCTTCCAGAGTTTTCTGAGCTTTTTCCTGATCCTCCAAAGCCTTTTTCTGAGCAATTTCTAATTCTTCTAAAGCTCTTTGGGCTTTCTCTCTTTCTTCCATAGCTTGCCTCTCAGCCCTTTCCTGCTCATTTTGGACCTTTCTTTGAGCTTCTGTCAGTTTTTCTAAAGCTGCCTCAGCCAACTTTTTTTCTTCGTGGGATTTTCTCTGGGCTTGCTCCTGTTCTTCCATCACAGTTATCAGGACTTTTTTCTGTTCCTCCAGAGCCTTTTTGTGAGCTCTTTCGAGAATATCCAGGGCCTCCTGAGCCCTTTCTTGTTCTTCAAGAGCTTGCTGCTGAACTCTCTCCTGTTCCTCCAGGGCTTTCTTTGTGGCTTTTGCAAGCTCCTCTAAAGCCTCTTGTTGAGCCTTGGCCAGCTCCTTCAGAGTCGCCTTCTGTATTTTCTCTTGTTCTTCCAGGATTATTTTAAAAGCTTGTTCTTGTTCACAGAGGGCCTTTTGCTGTGATTTTTCCTGTTCGTCTAATAATCTTTGCAGTGTGTTTTCTTCTTCATCAATTTCTTCTTGATAACTTCTGAACTTTTCATCCAGTTCCTGCTGAAGAGCTTTCAGTTGTTCTTCCAACTCATTCTGATGGACTACTCCTTGGTGTTTAATTTCCTTCTGCCTAAGGTTCACTTGTTCTTTCAGTAAATTATCTTGGGATTTTTCTTCTTCCTGTTCCTCCTTCTCAAAATATTTACCTTCTTCCCTTATGCTTCCCTGAAATCCTGTCTCTGTGTAGTCTTGGACCATACCCTTCTGTTTTTTCAGAACTATTGGTCTTACTCTCTGCTGTTCCTCAGTGTTTTTTCCCCAAATTGCTCTCCATTCCTCCATAGTTTCCTTGTCATTTCTTTCTAGTTCTGCTGGGGTAGTTTGAGATCGTTCATGCTTCTTACAGGTTTTTTGAAGTCCACTCAATGGACCCTTATCCTTCTTCTCTTTAAATTTCTGCTCCTGTTTCCTCCTGAATCTGGCAATTTTCTGGGCCTTTGGTTGTACCTCCTTTAACAAAGCATAGGATTCTTCATCATAATCTAATTGGCAGGCCAAGGCAAGGTCTTGAGCTGCCTTCTGCCAGTAACCAAGTATTTGTAGTGCTTTTCCTCGCCACTTGTAGGGCTGGGCTGAGTCAGGATTTATTTGTATGGCTTTATCACAGTCCCTAATTGCAGCAGTTGGCTTTTGTAGCTCCAAATAGACCCTGGCTCGGTTTGCATATAAGATAGTAAGATGTGGATTGAGCTTAATAGCTTCTGTGAACAAGTCAATAGCTTTAAAAAGTTCTGCTTTATTGACTGCATCAAAAGCTTCTCTTTTCTTTTCATTGGCTAGTTTTCGCATTTCATCCGTCACTTTCAAGCTTTCATCTCCCATCTCCTGAGGAAGATCTTCATCTGGCTCTATAACCTCTTCAGTATCAATTTCCAATTCACTGTCCTCACTTTCTGCTTCAGCTTTGCATTTTTGTTTCTTCATAGCTCCTTCCTGAGTCCTTCTTTCGTGCAGTTCTATTTGTCCTTGTTTTTCATGATCCATAAACGGTTCTTCTTCTTGTACTGTGTTTATAGGATAAGTTTTACTTGGATCACAAAGAGGAAATATTTTATGGCTTGGGGAATTATTATGTAGAATTGTATTTTCCTCAGAAATGTGAAATGTTCTTGTCTCCTGTTCTTGTAAACAAGGCTCACAAATAACTGATTTATCTTGGGGATGTTTTGCTTGTATTTTCTCTGCAGGAGCTTGTTTCATCCTGCTCAACATCTCTTTAAATTCTCCCTGGTTACTTATTTTCTCTGGTTTTTCGCACCATTTAATTATATTCTCGGGTTCTGTTTGTATTTCTTTCAGCATGGCATAAGTATCTTCATCATACTCAAGCTGACAGGAGAAAGCAAAATCTTTAGCAGCCTCCTGCCAATAACCTAGCATACAAAATGCCTCTCCACGGCATTTGTATGGCAAGGCCATATCAGGGTTTATATTTATGGCATGGTTACAGTCCTTTATGGCAGCAACTGGCATATGAAGTTTCAGAAAAGTACTGGCTCGGCAAACATATAAGTCAGTAAGATGGGGGTTTAAATTGATAGCTTTGGTGAATAACTCAGTTGCTCTTTGAAATTCACCTTTCTCCACTGCATCCAAAGCTGCTTTCTTGTTTTCACTGGCCTGCTTCCACTCCTCAGCTGTCTCCACATTTTCATCTATCATCTCTCGGGAATCTTCATTATGGTTTAGCTTCATCTTCTCTTCTTTGTTCCTTGCTATTTCATTTTCCAGATGTGTGCTAGTGCCTTTCTCTCTCTGCTCTTGTTTCTGATCCTCTAAAATTATCTGTGCTTTCTTAATTTTCTCCAGTATCTCAGATTCCTTATACCTAAGAATGCACTTTGCTTGCCTTTCAGAAATTCTTTGAAATCCTAACTTTAGTTGCTTTAGTACTGCATTGGCCTCTTTGTCATATTCTAATTTAGAAGCTAAAGCAAAGTCACAGGCTGCTTTTTTCAGATGCCCTAATTCCTTGAATGCTTTTCCTCTCAATTTTAATGGTTCTGCTGATTTGGGATTCAGTTCAATGGCTATGTTGCAGTCTTTAATAGCAGCATTTGGTTTTTGCAATTGCATATAGACGTTGGCACGGTTAATGTAAGAACTGGAAATGTCTGGGTTCAACTCAATGACTTCAGAGAACAAATTAACGGCTTTTTGAAATTCAGCTTTAGCTAGGGCTTCCAAAGCCTCCTTATTCTTTTTATTGATTTGATTCCTTATCTCATTGGATATTTGAAGGTTTTTGTATTCCATTTCTTGGCTGTTATTCTGAGATTGTTCCATATTTTCCTCATTATAAATCTCCAAACAGTTCTCATTCCATGGATCTTCCTGAAGCTCACTGCCAGCCTCTTCTACACAGATGCTATTTGCAGTAAGTGACAAGGAACTGACCACAGTTTCTAATGATTCCCGGAGGAAAAGTCGATCTTCAGAATTTGCAAAGCTGAGATCAGACCTGATCCAATCTGTCATGTCACTTGGAAGATTACTTGATTCCATGATGAGAAAAAATGATGAAAGGATTCAGCTAGAGCTTAAAGGGAAGGAAGAATTTAAGAAATTTGATATAAGAGAGGATTTAATACTTATTCTAATGAATGATCTGATGAAAAGTGGCCTTCATTCCTCTCTGCCATGGTCCTACTTTTATACTATCATTACTACTTAATGAAGTAAAACTCAGTGTTAGAGTCAACAACAAAGGAAGATTTTGTGATGTCATCAGTCATGTCATCACTGGAATCCTCAAGTGTGTTGTTTTAAGAACTTCCACAGAAGCATCTTGTCTCCTTTATTGATTGTGCTTAAATGGGATTAATGGTAAATAAGTTATTTGGGGGGTTGTTTATTTTTTAAATGCACAAAAATGTCTGTAAATTAAAAGAGGAAGGTAATTACTCTATTATATAGAAAACTGCAATATGCTGGGTTACTGAAATGTCCTACCAACATTTTTGCTTGAAAACTATAAAGCATCATGATTTCAGATGTCATTCTGACTTCAAAACCTGGTATGCCATATTGTGGCAGATTGATCATAATCAAAATCAAATGCTGCGTGTGACGTGGATACAGCTAGAGGCTTTTTTGCAGATCAGCCTTAAGCTACTGGACTTCCACATAAAAAACTGGCTGGAAATTAAGCTGGCTTAAGAAATCCCTTTCTGAATTTTAACCCATTCTTCTGTTCTAGCCACTGTGATAGCCTGATCTTTGGTCTAGACCAGCCTTTCTCAAACTTTTTTTTATCTTGGAGGAACCCTTAAAATAATTTTCAGATCTCAGGGAACCCTCACATAAAAATTATTATATCTATAGGTTGCATTGTGTGGCATGCAAAATTTTTTAAAAAGTTATTTTACTTTTTTTAATCATGATCTCTCATGGAACCCCTAAAAATCCCTGAGAATCCAAGGGTTCCATGGAACCTAGTTGAGAAAGGCTGGTTTAGACTATGTTTGCCACAACCTTTTATGGGTGAATTCCTTTTCTTTTTCATCCCTCCTGGCCAATGGGGGGAAAATTTTTACTATTTTTCCTGTCATTTGGGCTAGAAGGGGGTAATATAAGTACTTTTGTTGCAGAAATCGATTTGTTTTTAACTCAAATTACGGATTTGAGGGAGTTATAGAGTCAGTTGATAGGAGTGGCTTATAAGCCCTATAAGTATAGAAATCAATAATTTTTAGCTAGGTGGCAATTACAGTTTTAAAGATAGGTCCTTTATTTCACTATTCAATTTTTCCATCAATAAACTTGTAAAACTAAAATAAAAACACTTCTTATCAACAAAAGACATTAACTTTTTTCACTGTTTCATCAGTATAAGAAGAAAAAAAAAAGCCAACTCAGACTCTTTCTTTGGTAAGTTTGTAAAAATAAAATGGCTGGGGAGGGAGGAAACATTCCTGCTAAAGCGCACAGTAATCAGTTGGACAGAAAGTATTTGTCTGCAATGAAATAAAGTGCAGCAGGTAAACTAGGATTCTTCATCATAATCTAATTGGCAGGCCAAGGCAAGGTCTTGAGCTGCCTTCTGCCACAACCAAGTATTTGTAGTGCTTTTCCTCGCCACTTGTAGGGCTGGGCTGAGTCAGGTTTTATTTGTATGGCTTTAGCACAGTCCCTAATTGCAGCAGTTGGCTTTTCTGGCTTCAAATGGACCCTGGTTCGGATTGCATATAAAATAGTAAGATGTGGATTGAGCTTAATAGCTTCTGTGAACAAGTCTAAAGCCTTAAAAAGTTCTCCTTTATTGACTGCATCAAAAGCTTCTTTTCTTTTCTTTTCATTGGCTAGTTTTTGCATTTCATCCGTTACTTTCAAGCTTTCATGTCCCATCTCCTCAGGAAGATATTCATCTGGCTCTATAACCTCTTCAGTATCAATTTCCAATTCACTGTCCTCACTTTCTGCTTCAGCTTTTTCAGTTGGGCAGACAGTATTTGTCTGCAGTGAAATAAAGTTCAGCAGGTAAACTGGACAGCACACCTGATCTGGCATGTAAAAACCCACCACTTTTGATGTGTGGTAAAAAAAGATGGGTGGAGGTTGCCTTACTGGCACCCTGGGGACAGTAGAGGACAGTATCATACATTTCAGCCCTTGCAAAATGGTCAATGGCTGATATTTACCCAAGGACAAATTGGTCACACGGCTTCATTTCCAGCTGATTTATGCACAAGAAATATTGAGTCTTTGTGGAGCTAAGTGAAAGGGACAAGATCTAATAGATCTGAATAAAGGCAATCTGATCTTGTAGAGATGATGAACGTCAGTGAAGATATAGGTATAATTAAAAATGGTTTACATTGTACAGCAGAAAATATGAAATGCTGCCCATGTAAAGTCTGACTTGTACTGTGTTTTGCGGTGACAGTCCTAGGTTTTGTTTTTGTTTCTAATTTCTCTGATCAGGTGTTTTCTGATGCACTGGTTTACTGGTTCCTACTAGCAGATGCAACAAGAGTTTCAATAGTTAAGACAAGTGATATTCTGCAGTTGCCCCCTAGAACAATAGGGGCAATTGTGTTGCCTCCCCACACATCCCTTGCTGCCTCTCAGTGGATCTGCCTTTTTGCCTGCCTGTGGTCATTCTGATCCTCTGTTGAGGTAAGGGAATCTCTCTGAAACTGTTGTGAGAAGGCAGGGAGAAGTGAGGGCCTCAAACGAACCATGTTTGCTAGGGGAGAGCGTTGTGCACCATGGGGCAGCATTGGGGGGGACAGCAGGGGACAGCAGGAGGGAGGAAATACTGTAGGCAGGAGGCACGTTCGCCCCAGAGTGAAGAGAAACGGCAGGGGGCGGCTGTCGGGTCAAGTGGGGATTGGAATGTGTATTGCGCTGATTG